GCTACTGCAGCTTCTTATAGAGGGGAAGTTAGAAGGAAAACGTGGTCCTGGTAGACGGCAGGCGTCCTGGTTGAAGAACATTCGTGAGCGGACTGGTTTGGATAAGCCAGGGACAGAAATGATTTTGCTGAGGTTATCGCCAACCTTCATTGAAGACGGCACCCAAAGAAGAAGAAGTAAACCAGTAAATTACACCAAGAGAGGTGACTATCAGTTAAAGTGTTTGGCGGCAGCAGTATCATATAATTCACGGGGAAATTATTTCAATAATATATTATAAAATACAGCAAAAGTGCAACTGGTTATTACCAAAATAATTTGCTCAAAAAAATGTAGTAAACAATGGCACTGTGAACTACGAACACAGAAAAGCGACACTCCTTTGAAGTTGCGTGGGCTAGCCTCCAATAACAGTTAAGCAATCAGAAAACTGATAGTCAGTGGTCACATCACACAATATAAATTCTTAAATAAAATTGAGCATTTATGTTGACTTTCAATAAATATGAAATATTACACTGAAAAAATAGTTACATGCAGGACCGGCTTTTGTTGACATTGTAAATGGTGTAATTATTTTTGATTTACAAAAGGTTGCAAATATATCGCACAACGCAAAGTAATGTATTGTAAAGTAACTTTTGTATATAGCAAAAAGTAGATGAGTATTTAGTTTTTTCATAATTTAATGTAAGTTTGTTTACTGGCAACCATGTTTTTACAAACATGGTTGCAATTTTGAAGTCTTGTTCTGTTGTAATTTTAAGATTTTCCCAATTATCGGTCTAATTATGTTTCCAACAATTTTTAGTTTGAGCATTTTTGAAATTTCTTTGTGTCGTCTAAATCAAATATTCTCGTGTATAAAACCCTCTATATATTTTTATTTCCTAAAAATACTCTATTCTTATTGTTGTCTTCGAGCGCGCTGACACCCAGCCACCATCTGTTGATTTTTTGACCTGAGCCTTCCGAGATATTAAATTTAATGTTTTCATTTTGAACTATCCCTTGGCAGACCAAAGTTTATTTTTTTATTGCTCCACTTAACGAGAGCCCGGACGAACACGTCGGCGTCGGTTTACTGTTCGAAAGTCAAACTAATACTATTATGTAATAACTAATAATAATTACAAAGCAATAGTAATTAATAACCTGTTAGTTACAAAGCAATAGTAATTAATAGTAATTAACAACAATCACCTGTTATTATTCTTAGGAAATCTAAATAAACTTATTCCTTTTCCTGTCACAGATGAACATCCGCGAAACGCACAACCATAACCAGAAGACATTTTAAATATAAATTAAACTTTTAACTATAAACTATAACTATACACTTATATATTTAACTTATATATTTTAACTATAACTATAAACTTTTAACTACTAAATAAATTAGATAAATGGTCAAATGCACTTGTATAGTCGAGTATTAACCACAGTCGCCTACGGACTATCGTAAAACAACCAGAGTTGAAGAATAAGCACGTGTTGATGACAGTAAAGCAACCAGAATCGAGCATGCGTATACAAAAACGGTACACGTTTTTGGGCGAAATGCAGAAGAAGTTCAAACATATCTCACAAAGAACAGATTTTTAATAATATAACGGCTCAAAATAACAGTACTGCTTGGTATATAGAACGTCAGCGATAATTAACGTCCAGTAATTTCGGTAAAATATCTAAATTACGAAAAAAAAAACAGACAGAACTAAAACTGTGGAAGCAATATTAAATCCAACGTTTTGTGGAAATAGATTTACAGAATATGGAATTGCGAACGAGCCCAAAGCAAAAAAATGTTACAAACAATTTTAAATATTAATATTGAACTACCAGGACTTTTCATACATGATAAATATCTCTATCTTGCTAGTCCTGATTGTTTACTAGGTGCCTCAGGCATAGTTGAAATTAAACGTCCATATAGCAAGAGAACTTACGCCTAAAGAAGCTATTGAACAAAAACAAAAAAGTTTTAAAAATAATGTGTTAAACTAATGCCACAAAATTCATTTGATTTGAACGTACTCAAAAGTATGGGGGGATTTAGGGCTACACACCCTCCTCAGATTTTTTCTGTGCGCTTAGATTTTGTTGTTTCTTTTGTGTGAAAAATGCTTTCAGAACAAGAAAGTAACATGTCCATTTTTATTACAAAATGTCAAGTAATTTAGGAGATAATGCAAAAAAACAATTTTTATTTTGTAACTTCAAAGGGCTGTAACTTTTTTGTGTACACTTTTGTACTAAGGTAAGTTGGGTTCAATCAATTTATTTTTGTCCCCGAAATGCGTGATTTAAATTATGACACACGTTTTTGAAACACCCCGTATATATTCGCATACAATAATAGTCTATATCAGTGGTTCTCAACCTTTTTGTGGCGACGGAACACTTTTAATTACCGAAAAAAATTGCGGAACACCAAAGCAATAACATGCATATATTGATAAACAAATTAGGATTAGCACATAAATTCTGTAATAAACTTTATTATACGTACTCAAATTTGTAAAATTTTACTTAAAATATGAAAAAAAAAAAATTTTAAAATTAACAAAAGCGTAATTCTCAAAATACATCATATGAGTAAATACTTCAAATTAGTGAGACACTTGTGCCTGGTGTCGTTTGCAAATTTGCTCAATATCAGGCCTGATGTGGGAAAGAGCTACTCTCATTTCTTGTTCTAAGTTTAGCAGCCTTTCCCGTTTTTTATTTTTAATGTTTGTTAAAGATGAGAACCCAAATTCACATAAATAGGACGTTGAAAACTGTATTAAAATACTAATCGCTTTTTTGGCAAGAAGTGGATATTCCTCTTGGACCAAGATCCAAAATTCCTGAACATTCACTTCTGAAAACTTAATTTTCAGAGTACGATCAGATGACAACGAAATAAATTCTTCTTCTTGGTTCAGAGAAAACTGGAAATTGGCTGTATTACTTGTGCTAAAAGGACTTCTTATCCAGTCATATTTTTCTACGTTCAGAGATGGAAAATACCTGGCAATTGTCTCCTCTAATAGTGATAAGTGTTCTGTAACTATATGCGTGATTTCTTGTTCTTTATCTTCATCACCTTCATTCTGAAGCAGTGGAAACATATCCATTTTATTTGTCTCTAAAATGCGCTTCTTCCAAAATGACAATAACCCATTTAAATAATTAAAAATATCGGCCAAATATGCCACTTTAGTGCACCATGCATCATTTTCAAAATATGTGGTAAATGTGTCATTACCTTCTTCTTGGAAAAAAGTTAACAGCTCCGTTCTAAATTCATAAATTCGACATAATACTTTGCCCCTTGACAACCATCTAACTTCGGTGTGCAGCAACAAACATTCGTACTTTGATTCCATTGAGATGCAGAGTTGTTTAAAAAGACGAGTTTTTAGTGGTCTTGATTTGATGTAATTCACGACATTAACCACTTGGTCTAATACAGATTTCAAAGTAGCTGGTAGCGTTTTTGAAATTAGAGATTCTCTATGCAAGAAACAGTGCGTAGATATGATATTTTCATTTCGCTTTTTTGCAAGGGTACAAAAACCTTTTATGGAGCCTACCATGGGAGGGACACCATCCGTATGGAATATGACGTTATGGAATCAAATACATCCTGACCTGTTGTACGTGCTGTAAGTTCTCTGCAGCATAAAAACTGATTGACTATTTCACCTTCGTCGACAAATCGAATAAATCCTAATAAATGAGCTTTGCCACTAATATCAGTGGATTCGTCCACCTGCAATGCGAAGTTTTTTTTGTAAAGTTTATTTGTAACTTTTTCCTCAATATCTGCAGATAAATCAACAATCCTCCTTCTTATTGTATCATCCGACATAGGAATGTTCCGTATTTCGTTTTGTGCATCGTTGCCAAAAATAATTTTGACCATCTCACAACATGCTGGTAATATAAGAGATTCTGCAACAGTGTGTGGTTTCTGTTTCAAAGCAATTAATTCGGCGACCTTATATGAAGCTATTTGTGCTTTGTCGGAAATTGTTAGCGACCTTTCAAATTGTTTCGCTTGTTTAGCTTGTGTCTCCAAAAGTCGCTTGAAATAATCTTTATTTTTTGAAGCTACACTAGCGTGTTTGGTAGTAAAATGGCGTTTTAATTTAGCCGGAGCCATTGCGCTATTAGCGAGTGTCTGCCCACAAATAATACACTTGGGAATTGGACAGTCTTCTTCCCCAGTCCAAATGAAGCCATAATCCAAATATTCATCCAAATATTGCCGGTTCAACATTTTTTTGCTGCGCTTCGATTTGTCATCAACCCCACTTCGTAAAGTTCCAGTATCTCCGCTGGTGCTCGCTTCATCATCATTAATTATGAGTTGTTCCACAGTAGTTTTTCTTTTAAGTTTGAGGAATTATCCATTTTAATTTATTCGTCTCTAAACAAAATAATGCGGATGAATGCTTCACATTTTGTATAAAATATGCAATTACTTACCTTTGATAGATAAGCCGTACGTAAACGTTATCATAAAAAAACTGACACAGCGATTTTCACGTATTACGTTTGTGCAATGTAACAAATTCAACATTCAGTTGCAAACTGTGGCGTGGGTGACTCAGATTGGTTGTGATGTGGCCACTGCGGAGCTCAGCGCTTATAAAATCCAACGTGTGCACTGTGCCGACGCGGTGTTGTCACGTTGGGCAAATGAACATTTACGCTGCAGAATTTTTTTTATTTAAAATGTACGTAAGTGGCTATTTTAAAATTTGAAAATATTTATTTGAAATGAGTAATTTAGCAAAATGGTATGTAGGATTGCGAGTATTTCGCGGAACACTTGGAAGGAATTCGCGGAACAGTGTTCCGCGGAACACCGGTTGAGAACCACTGGTCTATATCAAGTCTGTATAATAGTATATCATACAAAAATAAGATTTTTATCAAGCAAATCTCGCGTTCAGAAGAGGTATTTAAGTTAAATATTTTTAAATCCATATAGAAAATGTACTTACTTGAGACGATAATCTAGGTAAAGAAAGGTACTGGTTTGACGATATAATGTGCTGTAAGGTTGGTGTGGGAATGTCTTTCATAGAAACGCTAGCCATTGGGTAGGAAGTATTTTCATTAAATAACAACACAGTATCCATATCCTGTGGTAATTGATACTTATTTCTAATTTCTTGTGAATCTACAAAACTAAACAGAAGAATTTAATTTTATTATTTCAATATCAGTTTACTATTTTCTTATATCTTAGCTTTTATCAAATATCTTATGTATAAACCACAAATTATGAAATAAAAAATTTATTTGATGATAACCAGAAGAGTTGTTTTGTAAATATAATTATAAATTAAGCTTACCCAAAAGCTGCTCTATGTCTAAAATGAAAGGCAGTGACCAAATATCGCAATCTAATTGTACTTCTGGGCTCAAATATTAGTCCCCTAACTCTATTGTCTTCCCAGCCATTTAAAAAGTCGTCAACATCTTCAGATGTCACTTTAGCTACTAATTTATACGGCATTTTATTTCTTATAAATTCTGCAAATAAATATTAAATAATTAATAATGCCTAAATATAACCGAGCAGTAAAACGGGTTTTGTAAGAATAATCTTAAACCAAAGCCACCAGTCAAGTTTTACGGCTATAGGGTAATAGATGTCGCCACCCGGCTAAAGCAACTTTATTGCCGAGTTGCAAAATAATGAAAAAATTTTAAACAAGAAACGCATACGCCACAACAAAATCAACGTGAGAACGGTTGATCGAAGGGTGTTGGAAAAAAACAAGTATTTTATAAGGGAAAAACAGTAGTTCAGGTACGGATTTTGAATTGTGAAAGCGATGAATCTTCATCGATAAAGGTAAATATACATTTTAGTGGCTTGAGATTTTTTTGCACTAAGATACGTTGCCTGTGTCTTAATAAGTTATAATAACATTAAATTTACTTTTTTAGTAACACGTAGCCATAAATAACTTGTTTTTAAATTTTTATTTACGAGGGTGGATTGATATAAAACTAGCCTTTGATAGAAAAAACAAGTTTTTTGGAATTAAATCGATTTATTTCTCAACATAGTCCCCTTTTAGCTCGATACACTTAGTAAGATGATGTTCCAATTTTTTTATCCCACCGGAATAGTACTTTTGCTCGAGCTCTTCAAAATTGGCCGAAGTTTCAGCAACGACTTCATCATTTGTTGCGAAAAGGCGTCCTCCGAGCCATTTTTTAGGTTTGGAAACAGGAAAAAATCGCTGGCGGCAAGATCTGCCGCCATCCGATGATACAGATCTGCCGATGCAAGATCTGTATCATCGCCAAAAGCGTGTCCGAAGTGGTCACACGTTCTTGCATTTGATCGATTGTCAGCAAACGCGACACCCATCGCGCGGATAACTTTTTCATGTTCAAATGATGGTGAATAATGTTGTGTACGCGTTCGTAGGAAATGTTTAGGACCTCTATTAACTCAAAAACACTCGTACGACCACGAACAAATTCAGCTTTCCAAAATTTTACTCTTGATAACGAAGGTGCAATTTCATCATAAACTTCATTCAGGTCGGCTCTGATTTGCACATTCGTTTTACCCTTTTTGCGGAGGAATTTAATCACCGAACGATACTCGATTTTTTCTATTTCTCCGAAAACACAAAATTTGCTTGCTTTTGACGACTGTAAAAACCAAACTAATTCCTTTTAAAACTTAAAATTTTGACAGACGTCATGTCATGAATAGCAAATGTCAACACCGAAACTAATTCGGTATCAAATAGCGCCATCTATCAAAGACTAGTTTAATATCAATCTATCCTCGTATAAAGGGCCACTTACACTTATATTTTGTTTAAATTAGTTTGTCAATAACACGTTCTAAGACCAAAAAAGTATTTTAATTACTAGGTGGCTTAGGTGGCCCTTTTTGACTAAAATACCTATATTTTTTAGAGGAATCGAAAATATGGCAGTGCAATTGCAGATATTCATCCAGATCAAGTAGAAGGCAAAAGAGGTTAAATTATTTTGAAAGCAGAAAAATTTCCGCCAAGGCGGTGAAGAAAAGTGAACATATAAGGAAAAATAGAACAAAAGCAAACAACTTCGAAACTTGGGATACGACTTATATAAATTTAAAAGAAGCAAACGACGATAGGAGATACGTGAAAATTCAAAAAAAGTGCAGATATCTGTTTCGGGGTAACTAATTATCTATATTTAACGGCTTCTAGAGAAATATGAAAAGCAGGATACGTATTTATTTTCCACAATAATGGTTATAAAGAAAAAGAAAAGCTACAAGGAAAAGAACAAAATGACAAGAGTCAACAACAAAATTTACCAATTTTTTATTTTATAAAAGTATATGGAATATATGTCCAGTATGTAAACAGGAGTTTTTATCGATACATGGACTACAAAACTTAACTAAACGGATTATATAAATTTCAAAACAAATTTCTGAATGGAACCCAACGCCAAAAAGAGATCAGCGGGGTAAACATCACAATAGACAGAATAAAATCACTCCATAAATGGTACAATCAGTTCATGACCCCGTTAGAAGTATCCCTAAATATGTTAGCCGTTATAGTAAAACCTCTAATCCTAACAGAGTGTATGTAAATCGCGATCTTAGTGTTTCAAGCCTGTATAAGAAATACTACATTGTATAGTGTACACAGCGTAAGAATCTTTAACTTAGAGTACAAGGGTTTAAGATGTCGAAAGCGATAAGTGTTGAACTTGTGATTCATCCATAGTTTATTGATAATAATTACAACATTTTCCTTTCATTCAGCATAACAATCAAGAGCTAAGTGCGTGAATATTTTCATTTATTTATTTAATTCAGTGATCAGTTCAATCACCCATGATCAAAAGTTCTTGCTAAGCTCTATCTTTTCTGAAGGATTGTATGTGTGTATGTAGAGTAAGTTGTACTGTTTTTAAAATGTAAACAGAATGCTAGAAGAATCTTTAGAATGTGCTGAGAGAATCATTAATGATGTAGATTATTAATTATTTCAAAAAATATATTTCACTTACCTATTATCCTTTGAATGCTAGTGATAGTTTCCTTATAAACAAATATATCTCCATCTAACAACAAAACTAAACAAGGTAAAGTGTGAATACTTAATCGTCTGCCCAAATTCTTTTCTCTCCCAGAATGGACAGTGACGAAATTTATTCCTAGCGGCTCTAAATAATCTACTAATTTTCTACAATAAGGGGCAGTTTGAATACACTGAAAACACCAATCGGTGTAGAAAAATATCAGGTGAGGTATAGTGCTGCTTTTTGGAACAATTATTTTATCATATTGCCTAAAACAAACAGTTATATTAATCAATGAAGTCTAACGAAATATTAAATATTTATGTGTAATTTATAAAAAACATATACAGTACGTTAAATTTTAAATTAGATATACACCCTATAAATGGCAACACTGCGCACCGCCGACTTTCCACGAACTTGTTGTGTTGTATTGTTAAAAATTTTGAGAGTTGTTATTGCCTCAAAAATTGCAGAAATTGTCGCTCAAGAAGTGTCACCAGTGAGTCACATTTTATTCACTAACGACTCTTCTGTTTCGTGATTGGGAAGACACAGTCCTTCAAGGTATTGGGCGAGGAAAAACCAGCGCAAGTTTTGCTTATCGAACTCAACGTCCTCAAAAAGTTAACGTCTGGACTGACATTTTAGGAGACCACATAATAGGTCCATTTTTTATCGAATAATAGAATATACCTCTATTTATTACAGAATAATGTATATTCTCAATCTTCCTGATGTAAATCTGGAGAATTTTTGGTTTGATCAAGACGGCTGTTCAGTTCACTACGCTCGAATAATTAGGAAGTATTTAAACAATACTTTCCCGAATCGAGTCATTAGTAGAACTGGCGCAATCTCCAGATCTTACACCCATGGACTTCTTTTTTTGGCGACATTTAAAACGCATCATCTACGATCATGAGGATAGAGTTCAAAATTTGGATAAATTAAAAAATTGAATAAGAGAAGTCTCCAATTCTGTTACAGCAGAATCACTTTCACTTGTCCGCAGCAGTTTTTATGACAGATTGGGATACCCTTCAGCCGTAGAAGGTCAAATATTTGAATCATTTCTGTAGAGCATAAAGAATTATTTTTTATTTTATTAGGAATTTTTTTTATTCTCAATATGAATAGATTTTTTGTTTTATCTTTTTACTTAAATAAATACGCTTTTACTTTTAAGTCAACCACAAAAAAATGTTCACATCATTAAAAACCGATACAAATGCAACGCCTTATAAAGATCAGTGTAATTTTATCGATTATATGCACTCTAAGAAATGAATCAGGTATATGTAAGGAAAACAAACATCGGAGGACGAAGATGTACACCTCATGGTTTGTTACGTGTTACGAAATGATTTTCTGTCGTGGTGTCAGAGGAGATTGGGAATTACAATCACCTCGTACGAGGCAATGAAGCCTCTTAGCAATATCTAAACCAAAACTTAACGTCCTGTAAATCTAGAATTAATCAAAAAATTCATTGGACCAAATACAACTAAACTGACTGTCAAATTTGATATAATTTAATTAGAAATAATACTTAATTTCAAGGCCCTTTAGTTTATATTCAACTATATTTTTATAGGTATATATACACAGGGTGTTACAAAACGATTGGTAATAAATTATACCAATTTTTAATATGGCTCTAAATTGATTCAAAACTTTTTTATGAAAGTTATATTATATGTTATAGCATGTCATGGTCAATAAAACCAGAGTAGTGAAAATATGGTGTTCTCGATAAGGCTGTCACCAAAATCCCAACTTTTTTGTAGTACAATATTGGATTAAGAACAAATACCTATTTTACAACTTTTTGTCTTTTAGTAATTTTTGGAAAATCCTTACTTTAGAAGATGCAGCCACTTTTTCACATATCAAGCTAAAATAATGCAATATCATCATCATAAGTGGCTCGACAATCCGTTGTAGATCTTGACCTGCTCACTCCCCGCTCCTGTCGATTCCTGACAACTTCCCTCCATTTTCTAACCCTTAGAAGGTAGGTCTTCTTCCACATCATCAATCCATCTCATTGGTGGTCGTGCTCTATTTTTGAAAATGTTAATATCTTCGTGTATTCGTGATCTGACATCCTAGTAATGTGTCCAGCCCATCTAAGTCTCTGCACTTTAACGAATTTCGCAATATCTGGATCGGTGTATAACTGATATAGTTCAAAGTTGTATATTCGATGCCATAGACCATTTTCATTTACGGCTTCAAAAACCTTTCTAAGAATTTTTCTCTCAGAAATACCAAGAAGTCTTTCATCATTTTGAGATCAGGTCTACGTTTCAGTTCCATATATCAAAACCGGTCTTATTAAAGTCTTGTATATATTAAGCTTTACTGCACGTTTTATATTTTTATTTTTTAAATGTTTCTGGAAACCGTGAACAGTTCTGTTTGATATTGCTATGCTTTTTTTTTATTTCGTTTACTAGCGATCCAAGATATGTAAATTCTTTGACTCGCTCAAAGTTATGGTTGTTAATTTGACTTCTCTGTTGGATATTTCGAGGGTTTTTAAAAACCAACATATATTTGGTTTTTTCCTCGTTTAGCACAAGTCCTAATTCACTTGATGCGTCCGCAAGCATTGTAAAACACTGCACCATGTCTCTCATACTTCTGCCTACTATAACTATATCGTCAGCGAATGCGAGAATTTGCGTCGATCTATTAAAAATAGTTCCATTCATGCTAATATTTACTTGTCTGTTTGGCTTTTCCAAGTCAATATTAAAGAGGAGACACGTCAACGCGTCCCCCTGTCTTAAAACATTATTAATGTCAAAGAACGTAGAGTTTTCTCCTTCAATTTTAACGCATGAGCATACGTTTTGCATTGTTAGTTGGGTCCACTTAACTAACTTAGGTGTGATCCCAAAGCCTATCATTGCATTATATAATGCAGTTCTTTTCACACTGCCATAGGCTGCTTGGATGTCAATGAAGAGATAGTGTGTATCTATGTTATATTCTAGTGACTCTTCTAGAATCTGCCTATGTGCTTGAATTTGATGTGTAGTTGACTTTCCAGCAGTAAATCCGCATTGATATTGACCAACAATATCCTTTGTAAAATGTTTAAGTGTTTCAAATAATACATTTCCGAAGATTTTATACACAGATGCTAACAGAGTAATGTCTCTATAGTTCTTACACTCCAGTATATCGCCCTTTTTAAAGAACTGCCCTGTTAAAGAACAGTTACTTCATGCCTTCCATGTAACAGCAGTTCAAGAATTACTTCCACGAGACCATTTTAAACCTATAGGATTTTGTGATTAGCTTTTAGAATCAAATAGATGAGATGTAAACTTTATAAAAAAATGTATCATTCAACACAACACTCATATCTAGAACAATGTAAATCCTAATGGTAAAAACTGTCACCATCAGAGTAATTTTGAAATAAATGTTTAGGCTGGAATTGTTAGTAATTATTTAGTATGGTCAGTATTTCTTCCCAACAATGTGAACAGAAAACATTATCTCTCTACTTGGAAGATGTACCATTTGTGACCAAAGTATGTGGTTTTTGCACAATCATACTCCGTCCCATTACAGCGACAAGGTTAGGGCACTTTCAGTAATATTCAGCACATTGGATAGGAAGGAAGCAGAATGCACCAATTGAATGGGAACGTGGTTCAGATCTTAATCCAATAGATTTTTGTTTTTGGGTGTTTATGAAAGATTGTTTAACCATTGAAACCACTGATTGCGATCACTGAAACTGAACTTCCTGATAGTGACATTGTGATATTAGTGACATTGATAACCACAGGTATTAAGCATATCTTCATAAATCTTCTTAACTCTTAATATCTTCAAACACAGGTACTTGATAATGGGTTCAATTTTTATACAAAGACACTCCAATTTTGTAACACAATTTCAGTCAATATCCTTTTTTTCCAAATTTTGTTGTACAGCTCTATACATCTCAATACATTATCTATTTTTATCTCTTGTGCATGTTGTTTTGTCTCTGAGGGATGAATAATGAGTGATACCCATTATTTAGCCCCACCCTAATGGAGATCTTCCTAAAAATATTGTACAGCTAACTACTCTTGTTCTGCTGAATTTTTCAAAATATCTCATTACACTTTGGTTGATTATAGTATTAATTAATAATATTCTAATAATATTGGCTAAATTGAATTTAAAAAATGAAAATAATAGAAAAGACATTAGTTTTTTATTATGTATAAAAATAATATTTTATTAATACATAATGCCAATAAATAAGACAAGCTTACCTTGTTGTTATGGACAACTTGTGAAAAAATGTTATATCATTCTCCTGGAAATTGAAATGGGCCCCGTGTTGGGCAAAAATATCCTCAAAGGGATGATTTGTGTGCAAAGGTGCATAGTCTGGCCTTCTATAAAAGTCATCCTCAGTAATCCCATGGATATCATATCTTTTTCTTCTATCAGGGTCACACAATAGCTCATAAGCTTGTTTTATTTCTACAAATCTTTCCTCGGCATTGGGATGGTTTGACTTGTCAGGATGCCTTAAATGTTATATACATATAATATGTCGTACGAATATTATCATTTTATTATTTGATATCATTACAAAATTTTGGGTCACATATATGAAACATTTTTTATAGAAAAAGATAAGATTATTTGGTTATCAATAATTATCTACTAGTAAAGTAATGTTCACTTTCATAAGTATAATAATATGTAAAACTCCTTAAAAGTAGTTCACAGAAGAACATATAAAAAGGTGTAAGAAGAACCCATTGGGGATTTAGAGAGGCACCAAAAAGTCACTATGTGTGAACCAAGTTCTGTTTCTGAGATGAAGGGACATTCCTAGAAATAATATAGCTTATTGATTACAACAAAGGCTTCAATAGAGTCAAGCATGATTAGCTATAATTAAAAACCTCTTAAAACAAGAAAGCCAATATCAGAAAATGAAATAACTGAACAGATTAAACTGCAAAGAAAAGTATGGACAGGGATTGTTTCCTTTATCATTTAATATTCATTCTAAACTGAAAAACTATATGTTGTGTTGAATAACAAAACTATAATGAAGTAGTTGCATTAATTAGCAGCATATACAGCTGTGGCAGCTCAGGGAAGTACTTTCAATTAAGTCGAAGTAAAACTGGCAGATGCCCTAGAAGACTTAGCACTATACTATGACGAAAACAATCTGAAACCCAATCCTACAAAAACCAAGGTGTGTGCTTTCCACCTTAGAAACAAGCATGCCTGAAGGACACTGGAGGTGGAATAGCGTGGTCAGATGCCGGAACACAATGAGACGCCAAAATACCTCGGCGTACATCTAGATAGAACTCTGTCTTATCGATATCACTGTCAAGATATTAAGAAAAAAGTAAGCGCCAGAAATAATATCATCCGCAAACTGACAAACACAAAATGGGGAGCACAACCACACACTCTCTGTACCTCTGTCTTAGCATTATGTTTTTCTACCTCTGAGTTTGGAGCACCAGTGTGGGAAAACTCTGCTCACACTAAAAACGTCGATGTTGCTTAAATTAAACGGTTCATATAATATCTGGTTGCCTGAACCGGACACCTATCAAAGAGGTCTACCCTATAGTTGGAATCACTCCACCTGCTATTAGAAGACAGGTCACGTCAAAGATAGAACGAAAGAAGCAGGAGACGGATCGAAGACACCCCTTGTATGACCACCACTTCAGCCAAGTAGATTAAGATCTCGGAAAAGTTTTCTGAAAATATCACGATCCCTTCCCGAAGAGCCAAAGACGCGCCGAATACACCTATGGCAAGCGTCAAGTACAACACATTTTGCTCCCTCAGAGGAAACGGCTGCTGGACACAATTTGCTGTATCCCACATGGAAAGTGCTAAACAGACTACGAACTGGAGTTTCACGTTGTGCTAGTAACCTGAAGAAATGGGGATATCAGGAGAACGACACCTGCGACTGTGGCGCGGTTCAGAATAATCACCATCTACTATCATGCACAGAGATGAGAGAGACCTGCACAGAAGAAGACCTATTCTTAGCGAATGACAGGGCCATCTATGTGGCCAACCATTGGAAACACAAAATTAAAAGCTGTTGGTGTTCCGGACATGGAAAGTAAGTATTAATTTTATTCAACTGATACTTGATAAAAATACAGGAAATACAAGTAAATAATTAAATATTTCTAAAATTTGACAAGTGCTTAATAATTAAAAGCAGATTATGGGTTAAGTCCACAGTCAAAAAGCCAACAGGGCATACACAGGAAATAAAAAAGAAACAAACAAACTAAAATTATATTAAATAAAAAAGAAGAAACAAAAAATGTATTAAATATTTAGAACAGTGGTGGACTAAGGCTAAAGGGGGTCCTGGACAACATTGTAATTTCAGGCCTATTTTTCAGTTATGAACCTTTAGTAGTTTGGTTTCAATGCATTATAGTATGTAGTTATATTTATTATATCAGATTCCAAGAAAAAAATAATATTCATGTACTAAAATGAAATAAATATAATTTGTTAAAACAAAGAATAATACCTCAACAAATATATCTAGATTTATTAGTTATGCTTCTTTTTTCTCACTTTTACTTTAACACTTCTACATAAACTAATGATAAACTATTTAAATTTTTGTTGACCTAATGTGAATCTTAAAAAAAATTTAATCTGGCCTTTATTAAAAATGATCTCTCACCACTTGCATTGCTTATTGGAAGGGTTAAATAAATTTTTTGGATTGTTTAAATTTAGGAATGTTGCGATAATATTATCTTCCTGAATAAATGACCACATATAATGCGAAATTTATTATTATTATTTTCTTTACATATAAGTATTTAATTGTAATAATTCATTTTTCAGTTCTGCTAGGTTTAAATCTTGTTCACATTTTAATTCCTCTATTGAAGAGTCACTATCAGGAAAAAATGTTTTGAATTTATTGTTAATAGTTTTATGCAAGTAGATCTGTTTTAATATAGGTAATTTAATAATCGCATACTAAAAAGAAAATATTAAGTAACTTTGTAAAATATTTGTAAAATATTTTTGCCACTAAATCTTGTTTCGAATTTCATCATTAAATAGTTTTGATATTTTCTGCTGTTTTTTATCAGTATATGCAATATCTTCAACTTTTTGTGCTTCTTCTCCTAAATTATTAATATCATCTCTAACAGTTTCTATCAGCTGCATATAAAATCTTCGACAATGTATTGTTTAAAAGACTTAAAACATTTTACAAATGATATTGTTGGTCAATATCATTGCAGATTTACTGCTGGAAAGTCAAATTAAATAGATAAATACTGCATCAAATTTAAGCACATGAGCAGATTCTTGATAAGTCACATGAATATAACTTAGATACACCCCATCTCTTCATCGACTTCAAAGCAACTTATGACGGTGTAAAAGGAACTGCGTTATATAATGTAATGAGATCCCACATAAGTTAGGTAAGTTGACCCAACTAACAATGCAAAACGTAAACTCATGCGTTAGAATTGAAGTAGAAAACTCTACGTTCTTTGACATTAATAATGGTCTAAGACAGGGGACGCACTGGTGTATCTCCTCTTTAATATTACCTTGGAAAAGTTAATCAGACTATTAAATATTAGAATAAATGGAACTATTTTTAAAAAATCGACGCAAATTCTCGCATTCGCTCACGATATAATTATAGTGGCAGAAGTATGAGAGACATGATGCAGTGTTTTAAAGGTTTGCGGATGCGACAAGTGAATTAGGACTTGTGGTAAACGAGGAAAAACCCAAATATATGTTGGTTTCTAAAAACCACCGAAATATCCAACAGAGAATTCAAATTAACAACCATATCTTTGAGAAGTCAAAGAATTCACATATCTTGTAAACGCAACAAACATGACAATAAAAAGAACGCATAGCAATAGTAAACACAACTGTTCATGGTATCCAGAAACATTTAAAAAATAAAAATATAAAATGTGCAGTAAAGCTTAATATATAAAATACCTTAATAAGACCTGTTTTGATATATGGGACTGAAATGTAGACCTTATTTCAAAATAATGAACGTGTTCTTGGTATTTTTGAGAGTAAAATTCTTAGAAAGATTTTTGAAGCCGTAAATGAAAATGGGCTATGGTATCGAATATACAACTTTGAACTATATCAGTTATACACTGATCCAGATATTGCGAAATTCGTTCACGATCTCCAGAAACATTTAAAATTAAAAATATAAAACCTGCAGTAAAGCTCAATATATACAAGACCTTAATAAGAGCGTTTTTGATATATGGTGCTGAAATATAGACCTTATCTCAAAATGATATTCTTTTTGGATATTTTTGAGAGAAAGATTATTGGGGCCGTAAATGAAAATGGAAAAAGACATTGAAGGTACAACTTAGAACTATATCAGTTATACACCGATCCAGATATTGTGAAATTCGTTAAAGTGTAGAGACTTAGATGGGCTGGAGATGGCTAGGATGTCAGATCACGAATACATGAAGAGATTAACATTTTTCAAAACCAGAGGGCATAGGAAGCAGAGGACGGCCACAAATGATATGGATTTATAATGTGGGAGAAGACCAACAGATTCTAAGTGTTAGAAGATGGAGGGAAGTTGCCAGGAATCGACAGGAGCGGCGACTCCTTTGTGAGCAGGCCACGATCCACAACAGATTGTTGAGCCACTTATGATGATGATGAACAGTTTCTATGAAATCTATCAATGAATCATACATTAAAACTGCTGTATTAATGTATGGAATTCATCTTTTTGTTGAAGAGTCTTGTTTTAAGTATTTATTCTCTCTTAAATCTTTTTCGATATAATATGTATATAAACAGTACATAGTCAAATGTACCAAGTTTTTTATGGAAACTGGTAGCTTTCAACCTTGTTAACAGTTTTTCATGTTTGTTTGAGGAAAACTAATATTTGGACATGAGATGATTGGAAGGCTGCATGATAGGTGTGTCCAAGCCTTTAACTGTCCTGAAGAAGGAGACAATAGTTAATTTTCTTGTGATTTGTTTTGACATTGCGTTGCATCAAATAGATTATGGCAATTTTTTTAATAATACTGTTGCATAAGCATGGAAACATTTGTTGAGTTTATCAATTAACAATTAGGTATAATCTGGATATGTTTCAGCAATAGTTATGAATATCACATTTTTCTATTCAATAAAAATAAAAAATAATTATTATAGAAGTTAAAAAATTGAATATCTAATTTTCGGGCCCCAAAAATTACAGGCCCTAGACATGTACCTAGGTTGCCTATGTCTTAGTCTGCCCCTGATTTAGAGTAAGGTGTGTATGAAGGCATAATAAAAAGATATATATCAAGGGAATCAGAGTTGACTAATACCAGTTAACTTTTGATGACCCAGTAAAAATTTTAATTAAGTATGTTTGAAAGTGCAAGATGTATTAAATAAGTCATCAAAAGTATTGATATCTACTTTTAAAAACACAGGCATGAAAAATAAAAATTAAATTATTGGTATGTTTAATCAAAGTATCTGCAGGAGTATAGGAGCAATCAAATGTTAATAAAAAATGTTTCATACTAAATTGACTCACACAACTAACTAATATTATTAGTACTGAAATTAGCATAATTGCAAGCAGACCTTATTCAAAAAATATATTTTTAAAACATCTTAAAAAAAACTATAATTACAAATCTTATATGTTTTAGCTTTTCCCTGCTTGTAAAAATCATACATGAATAAATAACACAAGCTCCTTTTAAAATAATATATATACTATATAATAGTGTTTTAATAATTGATTTTTACAAAAATTCATCCACTGAAAAAGATGATCATTATGTCCTTATAAACCTTAATTATAAACCTTACATAGAAAATAATCAGTAATCTGGCAGGGACTGATGCCTTGCTATTATAATAATAATTATACATAATGGTTCATTTTCTGGAAAGTACATTATTATCTGTTTAATTCAGTAATAAGGTTATAAAGGCAAAAATACATCACTTAATATATTTATTTTAATTTTTTGCATAAGTGCAAATAAAAAAATATGTATAATTTCCAATATTAAGAATATACTTAGTATTAATTATGATAATTTGCAAAAAGGTAGTTTAAAATGTGTGCCAGCACAGGTTTAAATCTCCTTTAATAATAAATATTTACAAGCTAAGAAGTTACTTACCATTCTTTAACAAGCTGTTTGTAGGCCTTTCTTATATCCAGCTGAGAGGCTGTTCTTGACACCCCTAATATTTGGTAAGGGTTACCTAATTCGCAACAAACACCCCACAAGGCCAAAAGCACGAGACAGCTTTGACAAATCCAAGTGTGGGGCCCCCATTTCATTTTCACTTTGTCAACAAATACATCTACTCACCCTAAAAATCTAAAACTATTTCTAAAAACCATCGGGATTTCGCCGAGATAATATATTGATTTATCACAAGAAAATGTGTGTCAACTGTCAAAAGGTATTTTTAACCCAGCTCCTGCCAACCCTTTGACAAATACAAGGATTTTCCGGGATTATTCAAATTTTCGGCATTACTGAAAGTGATGTCTTTCTACTTTTGTGTATATAAAAAAACGTGCTTGGAATAGGTTATTAATGAATCAGGGAGAGTATCAATCAGTGTTATTTATATATAAATAAAATGAAAATTAAAATAGAATCGAAATTTTCCGAACCCGCGAGATTTTCCGAGTCTTGCCAAGGCTAAAGGAAAAATTGTCCACTAAAAAAGAAGTAGAATAATCCTTTCGATGTGCTATTCTGTTACTAATTGTACAATAAATAATATTTTAAAATATTAGCGGTCAAAATTATTTGTTTAACAATAAACTTAAAACTGTAAACAATAAAAAAATAAACAACTAGAAAAGTTAGGTTAGAAAAATACAACTAGAGGAAATGGGTAAAATTGGTTGTATATCTCTAGGCGCTTTATTTAAATCCTATGGTAACCTATTATAATTTGGAATTATTTAAATTTTTCTGTGGCAAAAAATTTAGCTAGCATTTAGAATTCGAGCAAATATGGAATAAATGCGACAAATTACGCAACGTAGAAAAGTTAACTAGTAAAATATCTTCTTATATAATTACGTTTTCATAGATATAAATAGGATACAACAAGATTATACCTACATATAAATAAATATTCTGGAACTTCATATACAGCAGATTTAGTCTAAAAGTAGTAATATATTCCAACAGGAACAAGGCCATATTAATGTAGGTCATCGAGCAAAAGATAATGTTGCAATAATTATCTTTTTGCTCGATGATGTAGGTACTCTGTGATATTAAATTTTAACATGTAATTTTAATTTATGAAAGAAAGTTTTTTGAAACTTTAGATATTTTATTTTGTTGGATTTTAATATGTTTTTAATTTAATGTGTCAGTCTTTTCATTATTGTGGAATAGGTATAATAAATATTTAAAACTAAATAATTAGAGACGTTCAATATGAACAACAAGACGTAGAAATACAATTTTCACTATTGGTGAGAATATACGGATAAAGTCATTTGACATTATGTTTCCATATTTTTTAATAGATAATTAATTACAAATTATTGGTATAAAATATATATTATTTAATAAGTAGGTAGTACCTACTAGACATGATATTTATTTAGAAGCGGTTAACTTAGAATTTTTATTATGGATACCACAAAAATATACTGACGAATTGCATTGCAGCAAAAGAATATCAGCGATTACTATAACTAACGAATCAACATTTATATTTATTGACAGAACAAAAATCAATCATTTTAATAATACAGTTAAGTACCATTAAGTACTATCAAAGTATAAAAATGCTTAAATCAAATAAATCATCTCCACCCCTTATCATAGTGAATGCAGCAAAACTTAATCAAGTGCCGCATCTGAATATTTCGATGTTGGGCTTTGTTGCTAATACCTCATCACAGGACGAGAGTATGGAGCTGATATCAACCGACAAAATTGCCGTCAAAGTAATAAAGAAATGGTTTGGCAACAGTCATGAAATTCAAAATCGTTTTGTAGAGGTAAACATATGTACAGTAAAACCTAAGTATCTAATCCCACCTCAATAGGATCATTAGGTGAGGTGGAATGGCCAAAGTGTGTCATTCAAAAAAATAACTACAAATTGTATATAAAAAAAGAGAAGAGCAATCTTTAAAAACTGTGTATTTTTTGCCGTAGACGGGTTTCTCGTGATCTTGTTGCTTTATGTCGCCATCCTTTAAGCAACAAAATACCTCTAGATTTGCAATCATCATGAACTTCATCGTCTCTTATAGTATCATGTCTTAAAGCAATTTTGAAGGCTTCCTTTGCATGAGTGAATTTTAGACTTTCTGCAGGTTCCTCCTCATTTTCTACTGTTGTGGAAACGGCAGGTATTATTTCCTCATAATTTAATTCCTCAAAATCATGGTAATTTTCGTCAATATTTGCCAGCCATTCCTCAAAGTTACTAGTTTTTATCGCTCGGTCTATAATTTGTAATGTGGCAATTTTCAATGTTGTAAGATCTTCTACGTTGTTCTCAGTTTCAGTGATGTTCATGATGATCGGCCAAAGTTTGAGCCAGGATTTTTTCCTTGTTCAGTAGAAATTTCGTTCCATACTGAAGCTACTGTATAAATTACATTTTTGATCGTAATTTTTTTTAGTGCCTGTATCAGATCAGTTCCTTCTGTTCCAAAATGGATTTAACGAATTTCCTCCGATATATTTTTTAAAACATTCAATTACTCCTTGATCCATAAGTTGAATTAGTGGAGTCACGTTCGGTGGTAAGAATAGCGATTTTATTTCTCCAGAAATCAGAATATTTTCACCTGGATGCAACGGTGCATTGTCAAAAAGCAAAACTACTTTTTGAGGCAGATTTTTGTTTTTAAAAATTAACAAACAGTCGGAACGAATTCATTTTGGAACCACTCTTTTAAAAGATAATAGTCCACTCAGGCCGATTTCTGGTATCTGTAGTAAACGGGAAGGGCGTTCATATTAAGATTTTTAAATGCTCTCGGTTTTTTAGACTTCCCGATTACAGACAAGGGAAGTTTGTGATCCCCACTTGCATTGCTACACAAAGCAAGCGTAGATGTTCTTTTGACGATTTATATCCCTAAATGTGTTCTTTTCTTGTTGCCAATGTTTTATTAGGGAGCATTTTATAATTCAGAACGGATTCGTCCATGTTCTAAACTGGCTCAAGAAGCAAATTATTTTTCAAGATAAATTGTTTAAACTCATCGATGAACGCGTTAACCCAAACAACTTCAAATGAAAGTTTTTCACCCAAAGTAGAAAACTGTCGAATTCTATGGCAATTTTTTCACCGTTGTAACCACCTTTCTGAGGCAGTAAACGTATCAACCGAAGAACTCGATCACTTATTTTTGCATGCAAAGCCATGGCTTTCTCCTAATAAGCGGCCCTAACAATGGTGTCCCTTTTCTGCTTTCTTGGTTAAACCAAACCCATCCTGCCTCATCTAATATTTGCAATTTTGGTTTTTTCAATGTCTTTCTTGACGTTTGGTCATCATCTACTGTCATGGAAAATGGCTCAAATTATTACCCCTTTTACGTCACCAGTCTTTGTTTATAGTCACTCCGACCCCTGGTTTTTGCGCGATTTTTATTTAGGCTTACGCCTAACAAAAAAAAAAAACACCCCTAATGAGTGTACAAAAGTCAAAGAATACAAATTCAAAACTCACCTTTATCCAACGGTTCAAGCATCTGTATCTTTCCCTTGAGATTTACTGTTTAGTGTTTTCTTTTTTCCATTTTTGGACATAAAATTAATACACAAACAATATGTAGATATCTATATTAAGTTCGAAGTAGTACTGAAAGAATTGCTAATGAAACGATCGAATTTCCATTTCGAAGAAATTCTCATTGAAAACATTTCTCAGTTACCGGGTTCGCGAAAAGTGCTATGTAGTATATAGTTGCCAGTTTGTCGCCTCAATTTTCCCAACATCTTCATCTACCTGATCCTTCCATACACGTTTTGATCTACTTCTATGTCTTTTCCATCTTATATATTTGTATTTGCTAATATTCCTCTCAGGTTCCTTAGTATCCCAAGATCATCAGACCAAGTGAAAGATAATCATTTAATTTGAAGAAGGTCTGAAGA